TTTACTGAAGATGATGGAAAAGGAAGAACTACCAAGACACACCCAATATTTTTATTGAGCGAGCAGCTTGTTATTACAACAGGACCGCAGCCTAATGGCCCCAGTTGACCAACCACACACTAGAAAGTGAAGAGACGACGACGTTTCGGTCCGTCCTGGACCCTTATAAAGTCGATTGTGTCGATTTCAACATTTTTCAGCCAAGTTATTGTGACTCCTCATCTGCTAATGGTCCCATGTTAGATTCCCGGGTAGCACGACACGTTTAGGTAACTTTTCTTACGCCTCATGCTCCTGTTCAATCAGTAGTAAATAGGGGACGTGCATGTTAGGGAACCGTTGTGGGTTGCAGGTGAGTGTTACTATTTAGGTGAAGGAATTTTTAGGTGAATGGCATGTTTATTTCCGGGGAATTGTGGATAACAATTTACTCTTCCCAGTCTTTAGTTCTTTTCCCCTCTCCCTATCCCTCTACATTCTCTTCCTACCTTCCTCTCCCTGCCCCTCTGGCGTCCCTCCCTTCTCTCCACGGAGATATATTGTCTGTCTCACTCCAGGCGGCCCAGCACTTAATTCTCCAAGGGGTGGAAGGAGAGAAAGAGAGAAGAAGAGTGAGAGAGAGAGAGAGAGAGAGAGAGAGAGAGAGAGAGAGAGAGAGAGAGAGAGAGAGAGAGAGAGAGAGAGAGAGAGAGAGAGAGAGAGAGAGAGAGAGACAGACAGAGAGAGAGAGACAGAGAGAGAGAGACAGAGAGAGAGACAGAGAGACAAAAATTGTCTTTCCTCTCCCATTTCCCACTCAATGTCTGATCTGTAACAGCTAACAAAAAGTCAAAGGTCAAACGATGCCATTTATGTCGCTACTTAATCAAACGATAATTATACAAAGCAAAAATAACACATTATTAACTTTAAGCTGTACGATATGCAACATTAAATACACGACGGTAAGTCTTCGTGTATATAAATATTCACACACACTTGTCTCCGGACATACAGGAGCAGTTTGGGAAGAAAGAAGAACAATTCTGAGATCATCAAAACAAAGACTAAACATCTAGACCTCAGTTGGCAAGAAAACAGTGAAGATTGTTGTTGAAGGAACTCTTTAAATGTGAATGTTTACATAGACTACACAGTAGCCGTGATGATGAATGAGGAATATAAGGTATCCATAGTGTACAACCATCAAACCTACCTACAACATGGAAGAGCTGGATAAGACAACGATAGTGAACATATGGCCCTCTGCTGAGACATGACTGATCTGGGCGACTTTAACCGTCCCAAATAAGACTGGAAAAGCTGTTACTCTCGTGGTACACGAAGACAGACAAGATTTTTGGAGTCAGCAATGCAGCACCTCGTTGCCCAAACTGTAAGGAATCTACATTTCTTAGCATCCTCCATAACTTTTTCATGTAGAGAATAGGTAAATCAGCAAGCACTCTAAGGACAAGTTACCTTTGCAGAAGCGGGCCAATTGAAGAAAAAGGATGAGAAGAACTCCTTAGAAATTTAAAGATTTAAGTTCAAGAATACAGTGACCTAACATGTTTATTGGGATGACCCAACAAGCCACGATGGGGTAACTTAAGAAGAAGTGCTGGGATGAGAGTACTCAGAAAGTGACCTGATGCCTCCAACATACCTCAGAAAGTGACCCGATGCCATAACATACCTCAGAAAGTGACCTGATGCCTCCAACATACCTCAGAAAGTGACCTGATGCCTCCAACATACCTCAGAAAGTGACCTGATGCCTCCAACATACCTCAGAAAGTGACCTGATGCCTCCAACATACCTCAGAAAGTGACCTGATGCCTCCAACATACCTCAGAAAGTGACCCTGATGCCTCCAACATACCTCAGAAAGTGACCTGATGCCTCCAACATACAGAAATGACCTCAGAAAGTGACCTGATGCCTCCAACATACCTCAGAAAGTGACCTGATGCCTCCAACATACCTCAGAAAGTGACCTGATGCCTCCAACATACCTCAGAAAGTGACCTGATGCCTCCAACATACCTCAGAAAGTGACTTTAAATTTTATTTGTAAGATATTTATCATTTTGTAACGTCACAATTTCATTATTATTCTTCCTAGGAATAACGTAAATAATGTTGTCAAGCATACGAAAAAAGCTTGATGAACGTCGTAAGTTTACTCTCAGGCTGGTCTCGGAGATGAAAGGCATGAATTATGAGGACAAACCTTTAGAGATGAAATTTTAACCACTAGAAAAGCAGTAATGTTCAAAATACTGAGAGGTATCAACAAAGGAGACTCTTGAATATGTGAACACAAGTGGAAGCCGCATTTCTTCGTTTAGCAAAAGAAATTGAAGCAAGTCAGATTGACGGAACAAAAAAAAAATCCACATGTCTTTTTGTGAGAGACAGACATGACTGTCAGTAGAGTCCAGTATCGTCTGGTTCACGTTTATAACTCTGGACAGTTTCAAATGATCTTCCTTTCAAGTGTATAAATCGACTTCAAAACTCTTAAGGCTGTTGGTAATTGCTTTTGAGATGCTGCTCTTGATATCAGAGATATTAATGTTGCTGGTGTTCGTAAGATGTTATTTTATTTTTATGTTATAATTACTACATATATCATTAGTTTTTATTAATGCCATTAATAATATTAATATTGGTATTATTAAAGTTAATATTTTTTTAATTATTATTATTATTTTAATAATTATTTATAATAATAATATTATTATTGTTAGCATTAACAGCCAAGAGCAGTAAAAATAACTCACCGTACAGCATCCTGGGCCTCAACTTTAAGCAACGGTATATAGTTGACGGGATCACCATAGCCCGTGCTACATGCACATTTCGTTCTGAGTAGCTAAATCTAAAAACAACAACAACTCACCGTACAGCATCAAATTATTCTGAGAAGCTGGTGGAAAAAAAATATTGTGGGACAGAGAGAAGGAAAATGCCGCAGGGCATGATAAAATAGACCCTAAGAATTTCAAAGAAAATGAAGGAGGACTCATTTCCTCACTAAGAACCGAACCACAATGCCACTCCTCAGCTTGAAAGGCAGTGATTGAAGGCAAAAAGAAAGAGGCACAACAACTTTAAAAGAAATACGGAAAATGCAGTACAAAGGAAAAACCCCACAGCATCTTATGATCTGAAGAAATAATCAACTTGTCATAATACATCACGTAAAATATGATAACTCAGTCTTTTGAGCTCATGCACTTTTGGGCCAAATTCAGTCTAAATAACACAGGTATACGTGTTGTTATCACCGAGAGCAGAACATGTGTGTTTAAATAAACATCTCATACGTTATCATAGAAAATAAGACAAGTACTGTTATCATAGAGTACTCTTAGTTGTTCTCTATGATAACATCACACATGTTATCATAGAGTACATCAGTGTTACCCTCATCAATCTGAATATTAATACGAAACTTAAGCACGTAAATTATCAAACATCGCCGGATTGATTGATGTGGCAATTAAGAAACCGTCTCAGATGCCTCTCTCCCTCTTTCTCTCTCTCACTCTCTCTCTCTCTCTCTCTCTCTCTCTCTCTCTCTCTCTCTCTCTCTCTCTCTCTCTCTCTCTCTCTCTCTCTCTCTCCCTCCCTCCTCGTGTCTCATCTCCCTCCTATGCCACTTATATCCTTAATCTGACCCTTAAGTGGCAGCATCAATGCCGTCCGTATTGCAATTTCCCTGATTTATGATCCCTGGGGATTTTCTAACCTTTATTTCCCTCACACTCTGTCGTTGCTTTCAATTATGGTTCTTGAATGGTGTGGAGAAAAGAGGGAAGGTAGGGAGATAGAATTAGGGAGAGAAAGAGAGAGAAAGAAGGAGAGGGAAAGATAGGAAGGAGAATGAGCGAGAGATATTGAGATAGAATGAGGGAAGGTTAGAATTAGAGAAGAAGTATGAGGAGAATGAGAGAGGTAGGATAAATAGAATGATGCAGGGAAAGTGTGAACAAATGGAGATGGAGGAATACAAAATAGAACCGATGGGAGGGAAGAGGAAGATATAGAGAGGAGATGCAAATGGAAAGAGGAAGGCGATAAGAGAAAGCAAGAGAAAGGAAAGGAAAGAGTTAGGAAAAAGCATGAATAGGAATATTACAAAAAAATAAATTACCGATTTTAAAATATTTATGAAAGAAAAGTATGCAAAAGGAATAGTGGAAACAAAAAACAAAACAAGGAAAGTGAGTAGAGGAAAGAGAGAACAGTAACAAGTAAATTGTAAGTACAGGAATAACATAAAATGCAGAATAAAACATGTGTAACATTTGTCACAAATTATTATCCAAACTCCAGGGCCAGAGGTAAATCAATTATAACCTACCACAATAGTTTTTTTTTGTAATTACCACTATGTATAATTATATATATATATATATATATATATATATATATATATATATATATATATATATATATATATATAAAATATATATATATATAATATATATATATATATAATATATATATATATATATATATATATATATATATATATATATGATAAATTGGCTGTATTTTTGGTCCTATGACACTGACCATTCCAATTTCAGGATGTTTCTCGTGGGACATTAACTTCAACTTGACGTAACTTGAACATTAACCTGAAGTTGCTTTAGTGACTTCAACTTTAAGTTTTGGAAATTCTGGGTCTTTGTTTTGAGTTTATTTGAGTTTGTTACATGTTTGTGATGTGATTTTATGTGTGTGTTTCATGTGGCATTGTCGTTGAATATTTGTGTTTTTTAGAGTATTTTAACTTTCACTGTCTATCGCTATTGATCTGTTTCTTTATTTCTCTGTCTGTCTGTCTGTCTCTCTCTGTCTCTCTCTCTCCTCTCTCTCTCTCTCTCTCTCGTCTCTCTCTCTCTCTCTCTCTCTGTCTCTCTCTCTCTTCTCTCCTTCTCTCTTCTTTCTCTCTTCCTTCTCTTTCACAATCTCTCTCTGTAAATCATTTTCTCCCACTCAGAACATCTCAGAGTACGAGCGAGAGTACAACCAACAGCGGCGCTCTGAGTACTCAAGATTCCATGGCTATACCTACGACGGAGTGTGGGCCATGGCCTTGGCTATACAAGCCGTCGGCCACAAGCTACATCGCCTTAATCACCATAACAAGACCAATATCACCGTTCAGGACTTCAGGTGAGAGGGGAGGGGAAGTGGTGGTGGTGCTGTGTAGGTACCTAGGTTACAGGGAGAGAGCTACGCTCGTGGTGTCCCGTCTTCCCAGGACTCTTTGTCGTGTGAGGCTTTGAAACTACTGACGGTTTTGGCCTCGACTACCGTTTCACTTAGCTTGTTCCAACAGTTTTCCGCTCTGAGTGTGTGTGTGTGTGTGTGTGTGTGTGTGTGTGTGTGTGTACTCACCTAGTTGTGTTTGCGGGGGTTGAGCTTGCTCTTTGGTCCGCCTCTCAACCGTCAACAACAGGTGTACAGATTTCCTGAGCCTATCAGGCTCTGTCATATCTACACTTGAAACTGTGTGAGTCAGCCTGTGCATTCCATTTGTCACCACATCTGACACTAAAAAAGTTATTTCTAATATCTCTGTGGCTCATTTGGGCACTCAGTGTTCAGTGTGTGTGTGTGTGTGTGTGTGTGTGTGTGTGTGTGTGTGCGTGTGTGTGTGAACTCACCTAATTGTGTTTGTGTAGGTTTTAGCTTCCTGGTCCCACCTTTTTTAACCTTCAATAGACATGTTCCCGAGCCCTTTGATCGCTTTCACGCCAAATTTTTAGTCCGTGTATATTCTGTATTGCCCAATTCCCTTCCTAGCTCTATGCTCCTCTTTCAGTATTCTGAGAATGAATATATTTATTCTATCATATACTCCAAGAGCATATTTGCCTATTAGTTTCTATTTTTGCTTCATAGATCAAGAGTAGGTTGTATTTTATCCGAATACATTTAAATGCCTGTGTCATATGTGTCACTAAATGTCTCCAAAATAGCGAAATCAGAAACCCATAATATCACTATTATATAAAAGGAAAAAGGAGGTTTTTATATTACACAACTTTTCAGTGTGTTCAATCAATATACACGACAAAGGCCTTAAAAGAAAAAAGTATTTTATTTTCCTGAAATGATTACTTGTTGATTGTCAAACAAATCATTTTGAAAATATCACTATTACCTTTATCACACCTGTTCCAACTTAAAGATACATTACCTGGTAATAAATTAATAAAAAAAACGACTCACATGTTCAGTCTGCGCTCATTTGAAGAGCAAAATAAAAAACTTTTGATAGCGTTTCCAATGAAAGCCGAATTTTGAAAACTACAGAACATAGGCGGAGTAACTGGTAAACTATTACAATGGATGAGAGAGTTCGTGTTTGAAGGAAACTGGGGAACAATGAAATGAAAATATTTGAAGTTTTTCAAATATTTGGTGGAAAATTATAAGTGCAAAGTCCACTGAACTAGTGCACTTTAGTGGACTTTTAGTGGAAGGTGGACTTAAATACTCAATAATTTCAAATAATGGAGGCACATGTGAGTACATTCTGGTTAGTTCACACCCACATACAAACATATATTCACACAGCAAAGAATTTAGAAAAATCTTTCCCAACAAAAAAAGCACTTTTTAATAACTATTTCATGACTGAAAGTCATTCTCAACTATAAGGTCTGAATGCAACAATGGGAACGCATTAAAAATCAAAATTACTTGCTGAAAAAATTGGATTTAGTTGAAAAACACATTGTGATCATTGCTCTGTGAACAGCAGACACTGAGACTGAACATATAGAACTGAACATTTGAGGCCTACACAGCCCATTAGAGAAAGTCAGAACTAACCAATAACGTTAAAACAAAGGAACAGTTTCCTATGCTTATACACATCAAATAATTATGCGTATAATGCATACACGTAATTATATGATGTGTATGTTTATTCACACATACACATAATGCAATTACAGCATCTATATGAGGCTGAGAGAGATGCTGTGGAGATGTCAAGGCTGGGGATAACACCTCCTGGTATGATAACCAAACATCAGAAGATGGACCGAAACGCCAACGTTTCGGTCCATATTATATATATATATATATATATATATATATATATATATATATATATATATATATATATATATATATTATATATATATATTTATATATATATATATATTTATATATATATATATATATAATATATATATATATATATATATATATATATATATATATATATATATATATATATATAAGGGGTTCAGGATGGAAGTACACGAGTCGATTGGGCTGACGTTTAGGAACTTCCCCACCATTTCCCCCCCCCCCCCCATCTCCCCATCTCCAGCACAAACAGTTACGTACAACCTAGAGAGCACGTACCTCACCTCCATACCCCCCAACCCCCCCTCCCCCCCCCCCTACATCACCTTCGAAACCCCCCCCCCCCCCCACCTCTCCCCCTCCCCTCGAATCACCCCCCCCCCACACCCACCCTCACACTCATACATAAACATACACACAACCACCCCCCCTCCCCCAACATATATACCAAGACATACATACCCATAATATACACGTGTGGCCATGGTTGAAGCGGCCCACTCTGGCCCATGTGGTCCCCCTTAGCTCGGCTATTTCTATGTAAAGTTCCGCCATTATTTTTAGGATATACATGGCCGACGTCTCCTCAGGGGCCAAAATGGCTACCCTGGAGGCCATTTTGAAGAATAAGTTTTTTGTCCTCAAGGATATGGATAACGAAGAGCGGAGGAGAAGCAGGTGAAGGGAAGAGATGGAAGGAAAGATAGGAACAAGGAGCAAGGAGTGAGGCAGGGAGGGGGGGGGGAAAGAAGAGAAAGGGTAGGAGAAGGAAAATAAAAGATGAAGGGGGAGGAATGGAGTAAGGAGACTCTTGGAAAGAGAAAAAGAGATAATGTGTAGAAGAGAAATGGATAAATTAATAATTAATTTCCCCAACCACTTTCTCTCTCTCTCTCTCTCTCTCTCTCTCTCTCTCTCTCTCTCTCTCTCTCTCTCTCTCTCTCTCTCTCTCTCTCTCTCTCTCTCTCTCTCTCTCTCTCTCTCTCTCTCACTTACTTGCTTGGACGGAGGAAATGTAAAATGAATTATGAGGAGTAAGATTCAAATTTCTAAGAATGCTATATATCCTATGACTCAACCCCCCCCCTTCTAGAACCCCACCCCACCCCTCTAAAAAAACCCCAAGCCCCCCACCCTCCCCCATCCCCCCTTCAGCACCTCCACTAGCACCCAACCCCCGTCAACCCCCCCTTCCTCATCCTGATGGGTAGCGAATTATATCACTAATAATGAATGACTGCGAATAATACATGAATGTACTCTAAGTGAAGAGTGACCGTGAATAACAAATGACTATAAATGGCAAATTAAGGGAGGGAAAAAAATTACCATGAATATTCGATGACTGTGAATGGCATGGCGACTGTGAATGACAGACTACTGTGAACAATACAGGAAATATGAATGACAGATGACTGTGAATAGCAAATAACCGTGAATGTAATTAAAAAATAATAAACTAAAATAATAATAAAATCAATACTAATTGAAATTAAAATAATATTAATAATAAAAATAATAATATGAGCAATAACATTCAAACCTTGCATGACTTCCTTATTTAACCTGTTAATAGTAATATATATCCAGAGTCCAAGTCCTGTGTCCTGGTCTTAAGAAATATATTTGTTCATAGCAGTTGCAATGTTTGAAGTTTTGGTAATATTCTCCCATTGTAATTGCTGAGTCTAATTGACCCATTGGTTCAGGGGTAATCCTCTAGGACCTCTGGGGTGCCCCCCATAACTCACGAATTTCAGGTTCTGGGTGTACCCTGTGGACCCCAGACATTGTATGTTAAAATGTTTACATTTGAGTATAATGAACTTTAAAATGTAATATATTCTTGTTGATAGTAAGGATATACAGTGAGTGTGCGTGTTCTTTGGGAGCCCTGGAGGCTCAGAGGTCTTTATCAGTGATGTTATAACGAAGAACATTGTGTATTGAAGATGGGAATTATGTTCTTAACTCGAGAACACTGGGCTCCTTAGCTAGTAATAATAATAAAATTTAAGTTAATATTAAAATAAAACATTTAAAAGCTAATTCTTATAAATGATAAAATCAACAATATAAAAAATTAATGTGTTCATATCAATTATATCAAAATTAATTCTTTCGGTTTTTCTTCTCTTCAGCTATCGTAATCCGGTTTGGGAAGAGTTGTTCACCAGAGCCCTATCAGAGGTCAAGTTCGATGGGGTCACGGTAAGTCTCTCAAATCACTTTAAAACTTGGGGTCATCGAGACGGCCTTAAGATCAAAGCATGATAATAGGATAATGTTCAAGGACGTTTACATCACGTTCTTCCCTGTCAAGTTCAGTCTCGGATCGTTTTTGAGTGAAAAAAACACTGCTGAGATTCGATCTGAACTTTTTTGATCATGTGAGCTGTTATTGAGAGGTAAGGGAGAGTTATGAAAATATTAATAGGGCATACCTGAAGGTTTAAAATCCTAAATATAATGGGCACTCTTTAGGCTTTGTGGGCAGAACAGAAAATTGGCCTGTTTAACAGATCTTTAATTTAAACAACGTCAGCTATAACTCCGTTATATCATTCACAATTTTCAGGGAAATTAACAGGAAATATGATTCAAGTCATAGAAGATATACTGATATAATATATAAGACGTGATATTTTCAGCCTTATACCAAGCCTTAAGAAATTGTAGGAACTTCGCTCAAACTCAATATCAACCCATCAACCTGTTATGGGTAGTACTTATGGGCAGGATGAGGACGATAGTACATATACCGACATACAACGCAATTAGAAAGTAAAAATCGGTACTATTGAATTTAGACGAACCGGAAAACGATTTTCTACTTATGTTGCAAAGACAAACTAACCTAACCTAACCTTCTTAGAATTGATACCCGCCCTCTGAGGCCAAATATAGTACATATGTGTACTATACTAGGCCTAAGAATATATAAGTTTGTTTATTAGCTTCAATTCTCTTCGGATTCTATAAAGTAAATAGTACACAATTCTACTATCTAATTGCTTAGCATGTAAATATTTGTACTATGGTGCACATAGTTACAAAAAGTACTATCTAAACAAGAGGATGGGTTGCTCAATACATATGTACAGGCTGCCTGTCCCCCGACACAGCGAAATATTTAACGAAGTCATTTAATCCTCTCTTGAGTAGCAGAAAACGAAGTGGTCTTCCACACACCTCCTCCCCCCCCATTTTTCAACTAATGGGGAAATGGGGGGGGGGGGGCATTTTCCAGGTAATCAACGGTAGTCAAGCCCATTACCACCTTCCCGTTGATTTCATCTCCTGTTGGCCAAGACGGCCATCTCCGTTGACCTAGTCATACTGAGAGCGTTTATAGGCCCCACCTTGTTGACCAATCAAACTCTCCGAGTACCTGTCTGTTTACCCGCTAACCTGGCTATTTGACCTGTCCTGCTTCTGTCTATTTGACGGGTAACGCGAGGAGGCTGAGACACGGAGCGTCCTGTCAACACAAACAGGATGATGAGGCTTGAGTGATGGATGATATACGACTGACGTTGGATTTTGAGCTCTCAGAAGAGGGGTATTATGCACATGGATGAAAAGGATTCGGATGCTGACTGGATGACGAAAGTGGAGGCTATATATCGGGTAATAAAAGGATTGGGGGGGGAATAGAGAGTTATTTCCAAATTAGGATGATCCTTACGGATGATTGAAGCGTAGTGGATGATAACTGTATTACGTTTTTTTGGAACTGGATAGATTTGTAGATGACAGGAAGGAAAATACAATTATTCCATTTTTTCTAATGTTGTCAATTCCCCCCCCCCCCCAAAAAAAAAAACATTCAAGTCTACGTCTAATTCCCTAGAAATTTTGGTAGGAATTTAATTAAAAAGTGGTTATCAGTAAAGTATTTGATAATTTGTTTAGGAAAAAAAAAGATAACTGTAGCCAAAATATGCAGCAAATTTAGCAGAGCAGAAAATAATCGGGTTAGGGAGGCCTTCTGACCTTTTGATCTCAACTATGATATTGACTTTAGTTGTTGACCTTTGACCTTCAATAGCTTGAATTCGCGATTACTCCCTCGTCACAGTATGCCGGAAGAACCCAAGGTTCGCATCCCGGTACGATACATATGACTATAATCAATATGTAACCACAGCTTCTGGGACTAAGCCGACGTGAACAACCCCGGGCCAATTAGTTCTTAATTACTTAATATAACCTTTGATCCATTAAGCTTAAAATTACTACCTAAATAGGCGAAGATGAACAGATAATTAATAAAAAAGATTACAAAGATTTGCTGGTTTGCTTTCTATAGTTATGGAGACAAGCGTTCGTGAGTAGGAATATATCCCAATCATTTAGCCAATCATAAACAGGAAAATAATCGCCTACCAATCAGAAACAAGAGGAAAATCCCCCAAGCCGCTCGTTAACAAGAGGAATAACGACAGGGATCAGCAGTTATCAGCGAGTTGCACAAAAAGACGCTAATTACTGGAGCTGTCAATAATGAGGCTAATTAGGGGGCTCGGCCCCCCTATTGTTAAGCCCTCCCTGAAGCTAAGAAATTTTATATATATATATATATATATATATATATATATATATATATATATATATATATATATATATATATTATATATATATATATATATATATATTTCTGACTTTGGTAATGTATGCATGTTAGGTTCATACTACTTAATATGTGTTATCTAGAGGCTGTCTTATACATGCATAGATGTTATCTTACTGCTATTTAATATATAGCTGTTATCTTACGACTATCTAATAAACGAGTGATTTTTAAATAAGTACCATAACACTCACCAACGAAATAATAGGAAAATGACGACATTCCGGAACGAGAAGCGTGTCAGAACGAACAGAAATGTTGACACTTTCCACTGAATGTGTGTGTGTTGAGCTGCTCTCTTGCAGATCTCTGCTTTCTGTCTCTTCAAAGATCAAGTTTTTGGACGTCTTGCAATAATATTTTGTTTTATGTGCTCTCTCTCTCTCTCTCTCTCTCTCTCTCTCTCTCTCTCTCTCTCTCTCTCTCTCTCTCTCTCTCTCTCTCTCTCTCTCTCTCTCTCTCTCTCTCTCTCTCTCTACTCTCTCTCTCTCTCTCTCTCTCTCCTCCTCCTAACTTCTCTGTTCCCTTGTATTTCATCTTCCACTCTCCCTCCCTGTTTTCCTTCCTTACTGTTGCCTTACACGCACACATAAGTAATTTATCATAAAAGTGAGATCACAAAGGGGAACTAATTTGCCTAATACACATATGCGTGACCTCCCCTACCGGCCAACCCCAACACCCCCTCTCCCCTTGGAACTTGATGTTTGTCCTATGGTTCAAGTCCCAGCTATTGGGAACGTGCTTGCTCTTCCTTACTATAACCTAAGTCCCAGCCATTGGGAACTTGTACCCTAACTATATGAACTATAGCTTGCTTGCTTGGCCTATTGCCCAAGTTTTGTACTATGGGGAAACTTGTTTGCCTACTCGAGTTGAAATCCGGCTTCTGTGCGTGGCTTTCTCAAGGGACCACGGATTAATCTAAACTTTTTGAGGTTATGTGTGAGAAGCGATTTCTCTTTGGCTGCCTGGGGTGGCAATCCGGAGATTCGCTCCTGGAAGGGTATTTTTTTTTTTTTAGCGTATATTCTAAGTATTAATCCTGGACGCCTGAGATTGCAGTTGAACAGGGATTTCTTGCAAAATACAACTGGGTGTTTCAGAGATTCTGTTTTTGGGCAAGGGATTTATGTATTGGGATTTTTCGGGTTATTCCTAGAATTGCCTTCAACAATTCAATTGAAATAGGATATATTTATCGATTATACAGCATTTCTGGATGTGTATAATTTCCTGTTATGATATTATTTTATGGTGGAGAATATTTTGTGAGAAATCGTATGAGATTATAATTGTTCTTTAAACTTATTACAATAAATAATTCAAAGAATAAGGGAGTATTTTTTAATTGTAAGGTATTATTTGTTCATGTCCTTGTTTGCCTGTTCTATGTGTCTGTGTGTCCCATCTCTTTATTATTTTCTAATATTTAGTTTTTATTTTTATTGCTTAATAAAGTAAACTTAACACTTCAGCTTTACTTCACCCATTTCACTCTCACCCCTCACTCTTTCTCCGTGAGGGGTGAGGGTTCACACACTCTCTCTCTCTCTCTCTCTCTCTCTCTCTCTCTCTCTCTCTCTCTCTCTCTCTCTCTCTCCTGCCCCGGTAACACCAACAGAGTACAAACGACAGCTAGAGATGACTTAAGGGAACAGAGTCAAAATATAGAGGCAGCATTCCGGTCACTCATCTCTCAGATGGTTTCCACAAGTCGAAGAGGTAAAAGAAAAGAGATTTGGAAGAGGGTGGAAAAGTGGGAAAGAGAGGTGTATGAGAGGAGTGATGTAAGAGAAAGGGAAGGACGACGTAATGAAATTGGTTGGAAGAAGGAGGCAAGAAAGAGGGAGGAACGAAGTGCAAAGATGGGGAAAGGGATAGAGCGTGCAAAGAGAAGAGAAAGCACGAGGAAATAAATGGAAGGATGGAGTTAGGAAGAAAAGAAGAGGAAAGGAGGAGTATGAAGAGCGTAGAAAGGGAGGAGGGAAATAGAGGGATAACAATGTACAACTCTCCATAACAATTTTTTATAAAGCATTTGGCTGCAACATTTTTCACATCTTGTGAAAAACAGATCTTCGTGAAATTCATTCATAATGAAATAATAAAAAATTACGTGAGTGGTACGTGATACGTGAGTGTATACCATAGCCTTTCATGGTTCGGTTATTCATATAGTTTCAGATGAGTATACAGATGAGATATTTAAATATATGAATAGTATACAGGTAGATATTCAAATAGATGAGCTGCTGAAGATGTTCATCAACTCATTTAAGCTCACATAGCATTCCTTTACGCCCGACGGTATCAACTGTTCCATTTTCATCCAAGGTTAAGTGTATTTTCCCACAGACACGAGTCCTATTCCACTTTCAAGTCAACTGAAGAAACAGTTCTGATATGTTTCTTCTATCCCTAAAACCTTTAAATGACTATCTAAAACAGTTCCTCTATTTCTAAATCCAAATTGCTTGTTAGCAGGTTCTGTTTTTCCAGGTGGTTTTTTAGTCTTTCAATAAATATTTTCTGTCAAAGTTCTTTTGGAAATGTGAGAGCAACGATAGAGGTTTGTATTATCTATTCTTGCATCTTCCATTTATCTCTCTGGAAAGCCACAACTCGGGTTTTCTTTAAGTTGCAAAGTTTGTTGATAAATTCAGGCTGTGAAATGCTCTGCAATGTCGGGGGTTGCAAGTGAGTGTGCACCTCTTATAATTCTTAATGTAGAGGCTATTATAGAGGCTAAATCTTAATAATGTAGAGGGCTAATATAGAGGCTAAATCTTATTAATGTAGAGGGCTAATACAGCCTGGTCCGTGGTAACATAAGATGGTTCCTACTTAATCGTCTCTGACATTACAGATAGACAATCGAAAATCCCAGAATGAAGGGAACACTGGGGATGGAGCGGTCTGGCACTAACTGATGCGTGCGTAGTGGGGGAGCGTGGAATTAGACCTAATCCGTCGGTGGTTTCAGAGCCATTAGATCTCGTGAGTGGTAGCTACAGAGCTATTCGATCTCCTAAGTGTTGGTATAGAGCCATCAGGTCTCCTAAATAGCGGATACAGAGTCAATACATCTCCTGAAGGCCGGCATAGAGTCAAGACGTCTCCTGAGGGCCGGCATAGAGTCAAAGAGTCCTTCTCACTGCTGCTGCCTTCTCATTATGTGCTACTGACCCGATCATTTTTTTCCTAAGTCTTCATGACATTATGCTATAGCCCGTAATTTTACGTGTATTTCCCACGGGAACTTAAACTGTCACGGAGGATTTTTCCTCCATAGGTCGACTGCAGCCCTACGATGACACCTAAATTCGGACATTACCTGGTTCACTTTCGAACAGTCAAACAGGTTCAACCAGTTGCATTGTGTTATAGATAATCGTTTCAGATTGCATATTTAGTATATGTCAGAATGTCATCATTATTCTCATTGTAAAGGGAGTTATACACTGTCCCTGGCTATCTTGGGGATTCAGATAATACTTAATAAGTGTTGAAAACTAGGAAATACTGCTAACTATTCAGATGGGTAGATTAGTGGGTTAAAAATTGATCTAGAGTAGGGTTGGAAAAGTCAAGGCTTGAATGCTGTTAGTTCAGGTGAGATGGGAGGAGTAATTGGGTATTCATGATCATAGATTATGATCATAATGATAATAATCTATGTTTACATTATTATATATATATATATATATATATATATATATATATATATATATATATAATATATATATATATATATATATATATAGGACTGTGTGAATAGTTAGGCCAAGGCTAGGTGAAGTAAGGTGTCATATTTCTGCTGGCAATGATTTGTATTTTAGCACGTGAATGAAGGATTTAGTGAGGAGTGATTCGAGCACAGGAAAAAAAATGCAAGACACTATTCAAGAAAAGTTCGAACATTAACATTTGTGAGTCACGAGCCAAAGGTCTTATCATTAACAGGGATTAACAGGATCAACAAACAGAAGTTATGAAGGTAGTTACTGGAGGCGCGTTGAACAGGCAGACGGTACCAACCTCAACAGCCCACTTAACCTATTGAGTCCGATGCATGGAAAACGTGACTTTTCACAGTAGGTTGCATTTGTTGAGTTGCTTAACATGACGTAGCAAAATGCGAGATATTAGCTGAGATGACGGGTTGGAGAATGAGTAATTTTGCTGGATTTGAACCCATGGCAGGGAGGATCGAATGGGCACTGAACCATTACTGTTCGTCCCTGTTCACACAGAAGTAGCGAAGTTTGGCAATAACGAGCGTTTAGTGGGTGTATCGAAAGCATTAGTAACGCAACTTGTTACATAGAGAACTACAGCAGCGCCACATGGCTTTATCAACGACTAAGTTATTGCTATTTTGCCAAATATAGAAATAACATAGAAACATTTCTGTTTTCTAATTTCAAACATTGAAATACCACCAAGAACCTATATTAAACGATAAAGTAAAATCATTTAATGTTTTTTTGGTCAATACGAAGCTCTAAATTAGTGTTATTTGGTAAGTTCATGCGCAAACTAAAAAAAAAAATAATTGAAATTTTTAATTTCAATTTTTTTTGGCAATTAATGGCAATTAATTAATGGCAATGGCAATTAAAAATTGGCAAGATTTCTGTAATGACAGTAATATCTATGGGCCAGAGAGCCGTTACTATAGACCTGCTTCAGCTGCACCTTACCAACTGTTAATCAGATAATCCGCGTGAGAAACTTTTTGGGGAAACCCCGATAAATCAAATTTCCAAGTTCCGTCACAGATATGACTTCACGTGTAAGGTAAATTTAAAATGTTCCGAGACTCTTTCGTATAATTTGAAAGTCAACTATAAATATATGTAGGTGTTCCCGTCAATAGTATAACTATGCTGTTATTATATAAAGTCTTTGTTTTATATAGGAATAATATTAGGGAATGATATGATAAAAATATTTCGTGGGGTCTCGTTGGGAAATTGGCTTCGCTGTCGACTCAAAATTGCCGATCCCGGGTTTGATTTCCTGGCGGGATAGAAATGGATGAACACGTTCCCTTTTTACCTAATGATTCTGTTCACCTAGCAGTAAATAGCTTCCTGGGAGAAACACAACTTTTATAAGTTGCTTCCTGTAGAGGGCCATTAAAGATATATATATATATATATATATATATATATATATATAATATATATATATATATATATATATATAATATATATTATGTATATATATATATATATATATATCTATATATATATATATAATATTATTATATATATATATATATATATATATATATATATATATCTATATATATATATGTCGTACCTAGTAGCCAGAAACGCACTTCTCAGCCTACTATGCAAGGCACGATTAGGCCTAATAAGCCAGGGTTTCATGAATTAATTGTTTTTCGACTACCTAACCTACCTAACCTAACTTTTTCGGCTACCTAACCAAACCTAACCTATAAAGATAGGTTAGGTTAGGTTAGGTAGGGGTGGTTAGGTTCGGTCATATATCTACGTTAATTTTAACTCCAATAAAAAAAATTGACCTCATACATAATGAAATGGGTAGCTTTATCATTCATAAGAAAGAAATTAGAAAAATATATTAATTGAGGAAAACTTGGCTTATTAGGCAAATCGGGCCTTGAATAGTTAGGCCAAAGAGTGAGTTCTGGCTACTAGGTACGACATATATATATAGATATATATATATATATATATATCTATTTATATATATATATATATATATATAATCATTTTTTAAACAAATAATTAATATGATCATGTCTTTTCAGGGACCTGTGCAATTTACAAGGATAATACCAGAAAAGGGCTACATCCTTCTGAAGCAGTTTCAAGGTGAGAAAAGGAGAAAGCTGGAGACAGAGACTTTAGTGGACTTAATATTATGTATAAGGCTTACGTTCTGAAGGTTCCTCACCTGGCCCATCTTCGTGGACAACCAAATAGTTGCCAACTACAGCACAAGGCGCTCAGCCTTCACCAACTTAATGCTGGTCGTGCTTTCCTGTCAGCGATCCTATGTTCTTTGACTCGCATTTAAAACATGTTCACTCAACACGTAGGTATGTAGAAAATCAAGTCAACAATATATATAAAGGCTCTGGTACACAGTTGGTACTATTAAATTAGCTTTTCCAGGCGGAAACTAATAAAGATCTCATTAAATAAATAAAGATCTAGGGAGTCAGACTTCAGATGAGCTAATGAAAGGTAGTAGTTCTGAGCTTGTGGTGTCGGTTGAATATCAGTGACAATTGTAATGAACCCTAGTCAAAGTTTAAAGGAAGAGAGAAAAAGAGAGAGAGATAGATAGAGAGAGAGAGAGAGAGGAGAGAGAGAGAGAGAGAGAGAGAGAGAGAGAGAGAGAGAGAGAGAGAGAAGATGAGAGAGAGAAGAGAGAGAGAGAGGATGAGAGAGAGAGAGAGAGAGAGAGAGAGTGAGAGAGAGAGAGAGAGAGAGAGAGAGCGAGGAGAGAGAGAGAGAAGGTGTGAGTGAGAGAGAGAGACATGGAGAGAGAAGATGAGAGAGAGAGGAGAGAGAGAGAGAGAGAGAGAGAGAGAGAGAGAGAGAGAGAGAGAGAGTGAGAGTGAGAGTGAGAGAGAGAGAGAGAGAGAGAAACGAGAGAGATTTGTTTACTTGTTTACTTTACCACTCCCCCCCCACCACCCGCTCTTCCCCGCAACCAATCACACCACAACCATCCCTCCCAATCCTACCCAATCAGCCTCCTCCCAACCAAGCACTGTTGGGATTTAATTACAGGTGAAAATGGAATTCTGTCTCTCTCTATAATTATAGATTCTAGTAAAATCCCGACTGGAGGGATGCCAGATACGGGAAATTATCCGGTGATTGGGAGGTAACCGGTTCCTGGACGCGATTGATTGGTTAGGCACGATAGTGATTAGGCAAACAAGGTGATTGGGGATGTTGGAGATTATTGATGTATATGAGTATTCATCGTTGGTGATTTGCAATGTTTTTTAATGGTGATTAAGAAAACTGGTGATTAGGAGGTGGTACTTTAATAGGAATCGTTAGAAATGGTGCTTATCCACGAGGGGTAATCAACAAGGGTTCGATTCCCTGGCGAATCACAAATGGTTGGACACATTTCACTTCCCCTTATGCTTCTGTTCACCCAGCAGTAAAAACGTACCCAGGAGTTAGGCAACTGTTGTGGGGGTTGCCTCTTGGATGGGTCAGTTCGACTTTGGGGTGTACCTCGACACAATATATATATATATATATATATATATATATATATATATATCAGTCTTATATTCAGCAATGTACACAAGCTTCCTGTCCCCGGCAAAATGAATTATATCGAACTCAATTAATCGTCAATTCTGAAAGATAAAAGTATTCTATGAACATAAAATAAATTTAAATCCTCAAAATAAATTTAGTTATAACTTAAAATTACATGAAAAGAAAAAAAAAATATTATGACATTTTTATAGACTAAAGTTTACACGGTCTATAAAGATTAAAACTATCATCCATCAAAATAAAGGTAAAAATATTATAAATATTTATATTATCGCAGCTCAGTTTTACACACACACAAAAAAGTCCTTCTAAATAGACACACACACACACACACACAGACACACACACACACACACACACACACACACACACACACACACACACACACACACACACGCACACACACACACAACTCACATTCTTTGAGTCACAGAGATAAAAAACTGCCACATTTACAGCCCCACCCTTTCCACTTCCCCCTCCACCCACCCCCAAGTCTTTTTTTTTTTTTTTTTACACAGTGATGAATCCAGAGAGAGAGAGAGAGAGAGAGAGAGAGAGAGAGAGAGAGAGAGAGAGAAGAGAGAGAGAGAGAGAGAGAGAGAGAGAGAGAGAGAGAAAGAGAGAGAGAGAGGGGGGGGGGTGCCTGGCACTATATATCCACAGACTTCGTAAAGGTGTCATGGGAGCCGACCTTCCTTCAAGGGGGACATGTGGCTTACTTAAACCCCTTATCTTAACCCTTACCTTAATTCTTTTTATACATTCATCCGTAAATCTGCAAAGTTTAGTGAATCTAGTCATGTCTGACCCGTAACCTCAGACACATATTCTTTTTATTATATATATATTATAGATTAAGGACAATGGATCAGGAGGTTCCGAAGATCTGTCAGTTATAATGAAATAAATATTTGTCTGAAAATCCGAGACATCAGTAGTGGTT